AGTGGGAATTCTGGTTCCTCATCGAGTTTGTGTCGTGTCTGCGAGTCACTGCTGACAGCCAAATGAACAATTAAAATGCAGTTTGTATCCAGCCAGTAAAAACAAGGCAATCAGCTTGGCTGTGCTGAAAGGCCTCATTGCTTGCAGCTGTTTTTAACTTAGATTTTTTTAAATCATACTCTGGGACAGAAAACCAAAACTCCTTACAATGCACTTTTGTTTTCATATTACATTAACATATACTCATCTGCCATATGAAGCTTAAGGTTTGTTCTCTTGTTCTCGCTCGTCCAACCAACAAGTAAAACTATGACCTGCTACAGTTTTATGGACCTTCTGCTGAGTTTTCTGCTCAGTCCCTGGCCTGCTGCCAGAGAAAGCCTTTCTCACTGTGGGAAATGTATTAAGATGTAATGGGAAGGTTGCCTGGGAGTCAGTCAGCAGTCTGCACTGTAAACCAAGAAGGGACTCATATGTGAGTGTCAAGCTGAAAGTCTGAGAGTATTACTAGCTCTGGACTGGTTTGTGCCTTTTACACAGCCGACTGTGAGTATGGCAGACTGAAATAAGGATTTTATTAGCTGTGCAGCCCTCAAACAATGTCCTTCCTGCTGCTCAGCTGTATGTAACAACATTCTCACTACCTTTATTTGTCGAATCGGATTTATTCAAGAAAGATGAGTGAGGCTTGGTAGGTGGGAATAAGGTTCTGTTACAATACATATAAAAATCAGTGGAAAGAACATTGTATTTTCATCCGCCAAGTCTGTTACTTATTATGTAAGCAGAGGAGACACCGCTGCTGCAGCTGTACTTTGCCTGTTGACTGCAAGGTTGATCTGTTGTGCATTACATAAAGCTGGTTGCTACGCACACACACACAAGGACAGACTTCCTTCTCCTACTTCTGCTGTACTGATCTAGTATATTGGCCTTGCTCTTATGGCCCAGCACATTCTTTTGTCTTTTTGTGGCTGCAGTACTTTGGCTTCTGCATGATCGTCTACTCCCCAAATTCCTGTCAGATAATTCCCATTTGAAACACATTGCTGCCTGTCTGCAGCTAAACAAATAATTAGGAGTTTGGCAGGACTGGAGTATTACAGTGGTTTGACAGAGCTACTGCGTCCAGTGGACTGGCATCTGGCTACATTTTGTATCCAACAGCTGCAGGAGAAGTGGCAGAGAAATGTAATGCAAGCCTGTGTGTTAATGTATTTCTTTGTAAGGCTGTTATACTCTTTAATTGAGCCCAGCACCAAGGTCTGAGCATTTGTAAAGATCAACTCATCTCCGTTACATACTTCTATGAATGCACAACTTTAGCTTCTTCCTGGTGACACAGGTTTGAGTCTCAGTTTATTGGTTTGTAGCAGTGGGACATTGTAAAGTATTTTATTGAATTAAGATGCTACTCTTGACCGATACCAGCCTTTTGATCAAAGTGGGAGGTCAGTCTGCCATCGTGATTTTATCTAACAGCTTCAGGCATGTCAGTCTCACTCAGCCATGTCTGACTGGTTTTTAAACCCACGAAATCTAATAAAGAGTTCGAACTTTCCAAAAACAAAAACATGTCGGACTCCATTACTGCAAAATGTGTGATAAATAATTCATGAGACTTGCACATCTACTGTAGAAAAGTCTTATTTGAGGAACATACTGTAGTGTCTTCAGGTTTAATATTTTATTACTTGTAAGCACCAGAAAGATCAAATGATGTGTTGAAACAGGCAGATACAGACTGTACAGTATATGGTTGTGAATTTTGAGCACAGTTTGAATCATTTGTGTAACCAGTTTAAGAGCTCCAGCCCATGTTTAAAGGAGTAGTTCAACATTTTGAGAGCTCCATATTCACCTTCTTGTAAGCAGCAAGTTTGGTTTTCCTCTCATGTCTGTACGGTAAACATGAAGCTACAGCCAGAAGACTATTATCTCAGGTTAGCATAGCAAATAGTGTGGGAACCACACAGTGATCTGAATGTTTCAGAGATTTTAGCATCCAGCCAAGTATAAAAGAAATGTTTACTTATTTTTATACATGGAAATAATCCAGTCTTAACAAACTAAATATCAGCACCAGAAAGAAAGAAATCACAGTATTGAAAGTTATGATAAAATAAATTGTGAATCTAAGTCCCCTTTCCTAATTGACATCATCCAGGCCTGTACAAACTCAGAGAAGCAGCCTTTAAAGTTGAGTCCTGCTTTATATACAGTCTTATGCAAAAGTTTAGGCACCCCTTGATAAATAACAGATTTTGGTGATTTTTTATTTGAACAGATGTTAACACAGTTTCTCTTGGAAATGGAAAAAATGCACAATATTTTCTGCAAACAGTGATGCATAGTTACTTCTTATGCCATAAATTGAACAAAAATAAAAAATAAAAACATTATTATGGCATGGTGCAAAAGTTTGGGCACCCTAAGAGTTCCAGAGTCTCAAAGTCTCTCACAAGGTATCAGACCTTAATCAGCTCGTTAGATCTGATGCACAGCAACAGCTGTCATTGGTAAATGCCAATTTCAAAGCTGTACAAATACTTTGACTCTTCAAACCTTGTGCACACACTTGTGGACACCCAGCAACCATGGGTTCCTCTAAGCAGCTGTGTAAGACCCTGAAAATGAAAGTTATTGACGCCCACAATGCAGGAGAAGGCTACAAGAAGATAGCAAAGCGTTGTCAGCTTGCAGTTTCCACAGTAAGAAATGTAATTAAGAGATGGCAGATCAGGGGAACTGTGGAGGTCAAGATGAGATCTGGAAGACCAAGAAAACTCTCGGACAGAACTGCTCGTATGCTGGTCAGAAAGACAAATCAAAACCCCCATTTGACTGCAAAAAACCTGCAGGAAGATTTAGCAGACTCAGGAGTGGTGGTGCACCGTTCCACTGTGCAGCGATGCTTGCACAGACAAGGCCTTCATGGAAGAGTCAGCAGAAGAAAACCTTATCTGCGTCCCCATCATAAAATCCAACGTCTGAAGTATGCAACAGGACATCTACAGAAGCCCGATGCGTTTTGGAAACAAGTGCTGTGGACTGATGAAGTTAAAATAGAACTCTTTGGACACAATCAGCAATTATTATTATTATAATTTTTTACATCAGCCTCTGGCTGCCTGTGGTTGACTTGTTCGGCTGCTGACAGACCAACACAGCTGGTGGCTAATGACTTCACACTTGAGGGGATAAAGCTGACTACATATAACTCTATCTACACTACTGTAGGTCTTGACTCTGAAAAGATGAATACATTTTGCAACCAGATGGCATGTTCATTTGAGACCACAGTGTGACCGTTAATTACTCTTTTGGGTTTCACGTGTTACTGTGTAATTGGTTTGCTGGTTTAATTAATCTGAAATTGTTTTGTCAGAGCGTGGTGGTGGCGGTGATTAGACAAACACCTAGCCATACAGCTGTACTCCAACAATAAATAAAACTGGACTTGTATAGAGATTGCAAAAAAAAAAGCATTTTATTCAGAGTTAATCAGCAAACGCTGCATATGAGGGTTCTATTTGTATCCCAGATATTAAGTTTGCCTTTGCTGTAGATGTTTCCAAACCAGCCTTCTAGATCTTTATTAAGTTGTTTTAGTGAACTTTTCTGTGAGGAAACAATGTAAGGTCCTATCTAAGGCAAATGGGAAATTGCAATGTCAGCCACTGCTGTGTTCACTGAGATGCTCTCGAGTTTATAAACACAAACAATAATTTGATCAGATTTATACACTTAATATTTTCTAGCCAAGTCTGATATGATCTCTTTTTCCAAAGCACCTCATTTAGCATTATACATTTCCTCTGGCTTTGTGATCTGAATTTAAATAACATATACCCTTGTATTTGGACTTATTTATGGATGAGCAGCACTCTAACTTATTGTTTCTTATCAACAGGGACAAAAAGGACATCCTGGTCCTTCTGGCCTCCCAGGTGAAGCTGTAAGTACTTGATTTTTCAGTAAAATGGCTCCAGTTGGTTGTACAGTGTATTTATACCTTTTCTTTAATGTATAGCAGAGCCAATTTCTTTCTCAGTATCTTCATCAAACTGCAGCCATGTTGCAAGCTGCTGTCAGCCACTGAATCAGTAGTTGCATTGTCTACAACTGTAGTGCCATTTTTAGGTTAATGAGAATTATGGGGGAAAGCTGCTAGAACGCTACAATATACTTAAATTCAGTAAATTCTGAGGTGAGATGCATCACTGGCCCTTTTTAAATATATGATCAACGGTGTCTGGGGTGAGAGTGTGAATTTTATTGTAAGGTTTAAAAAAATCACGAGAGGATTTTCCTAAGAGGATTTTGTGAATAGCAAAAGTGGCATCTGAAAACAAATGAAATCAGATCCCTTCATCTTTCTGAAGTGATATCATGCTGACTGAGCCCACTGCATGCTGTTTGTCTGATGGCTGGAGTGTGTGTTAGCTATATGTTAAGTATATGTTTACTGACTGAATAGAAAAGCTAAGAGTCTGCAGAGACAGTTCCCATAACACTCCAGCATGTCTTTCCATTTATAGTTACAAAACAGGAGAAAGGGAGGGAATGACAGAGGGAAAATGTTAACACAGAGTCATTGGACATTAAAAAAAGAAGGGTGAGTAGAGACATTACACACTAGTTGTGCAGGAATCTTGGCGGGAAAACCGATGAGAGATTTTTGGCAGTGATACAAGTGGGCTAAATAGTTTGCACACCCTAGGTCCCGTCTCCTTTCCCGCCTTCCTGAGTTCAGTTCCTGTCTCTTTGAAAAGAATGTGCTGTGTCACAGTGTGTCTTTTCTAATATTCTCAAAAAGATGATGCAATCTTTTCTTTGGAAAATAACTACACACCACATGTTTTAACATGCACATCTGTTGGCCTGTGTATTCTGAGGCCTGTTACTTTTGTTGCAGTAGTGTAATACATTTGGTTCTTCTAGTTCATTGAGGATAACCAGCGTCATCTCCTGCCAAAGGGACATTCACTCTTAATTGTTACAGACACTCCTGGTTGACTATTAATTAAGTGGAGTTTGTTTGTTACTTAAAGGTACCCTGTGGAGGTTTCTTGTTGAATTCAAAAACCTGTGGCTACATCTAAATAGAACTAGCTAGCTGGCACCATGGACTGGCTGACAGCGGGTCATCACATCTCTGAAAATGTCGGACCACATATTTGACAACTAGATCATTAATTTCCCTCCCTTGAAAAATATCAAAATTTAAAGTGGTATAATAACAGCCCTAGGACAAAAATTATAACTGCTTTGAGCTTGCCGTCACCACCGTGGGAGGATGGGATAGTGTATTGTTCATTGCTTACATACTACGATGTTATGTAGGTTACTACTCGTGTACATATTTTACCATACTACTTGTCTCGCACACACATTTTAGCCTACTGCGTAGTAGGCAAGTAGTCGATTTCGGATGCACCCCTTATGTACAGTACATATAAAAACATTTGTCCTGAAGATTACTGCTTCCTTTCCTCCATCCTTCAACCCTTTCTTCCTCCCGTCACCCTTTCCTGGCCTCCCCTGATGTTAATTTCTGATCTGTCTTTTTCTCCACAGGGTGACCGTGGAAATGATGGAAGCCCGGGGGCCAAAGGCTATCCTGGCAGGCAGGTGCAGTAAATCTAGTGTTGCGGTGCTGGTTGAGCAGGGCCACACACACACAAACAAACACACACACACACACAGAAACACACCTGCAAGACACAACAAAAAAAGGAGGCTAGGTTGTCATCTCTATTGTGAATTCAGGTTTTTGAAGATATGGGATGATTTGGACTTGGGGGAACATTGACTCCTTGTATGCTTTCTAGAAATTTTTTTTTTTAAGTGCTCGGAACAAAGACAAACACCCAATTTGGTAAATCCAAATAAAAAGGGTTGGCCCCAGAAATAAGACAAACACTCTCTGTGGTGGAATTACAGCTACAAACACCCCTGTTCTAGCAAGAAAATGTCATAAGGTTTCTATAGTGAATGTTACCCTGAAGAAAGAAAAGATAATAGAAGTGTGACTAATGCCACAGCTCCCCGGGTAGAAATAAGCTTTTTCTGTCCTTCCAATGCTCTGTGAGCATCATTCCTTGCCCCACTTTTAGGAATAGGGTTTAACTTAAGTATTCAAAGCTGGGGACTGTTATGGTCTCTGTGCATTTAAAATATGTTCCCTCTTAACTTTTAACAAATTTAAAGTCCCACAGCAGCTGTGCAGCTGCTTACTCACTTTTGCTCCCTTTAATGTTAATGATAACAGAGTTCAGGCACCGGTCTCGGTGCTTGCCTGTGTGTGTCAGTGCACTTTCTATGTCAGAGCCCTGATCCCTATAGAGACTTAGTGGTGTGTGATGGATTAGGTTTTAGCACCCCCTACCATCTGTAGGCTGTGAATCACTGGAGCTGTAGGTTTGTGTCAAGATTCTGCACTTGGCTGTAGGGAGTTCTCCTGATCTGAGTGTTGATCGTTATGGTTGCAGGGGGAGATTATCTGCACTAGTGGATTTGTTGGCAGTGTCTCAGAGAAAAGATGTGGATGCGGCTGAAGTATTAACACTGTAAATGCCAGCTAAGATTGCTAATTATAATTTTAAAAATGATGCTTATTATCAAGTAGTGAGACTTTTTAATCTAGATGGATAGTCAAAGCATTTTTTAAATTAAGTACTTTCATATTTACTTAAATAAAGTTCTGCCTCTGGTTGTAACCACAGAAATATATTTGGTCATCTGTTATGTTTAGGGTTTACCTGGGCCAATAGGAAAAATGGGGCCAAAAGGAGTCAGGGTAAGTAGATGTTGGAAAAAAACAGTTTTAATATTGATCTGTTTTAGCAAATGTAGACATTTTACTGCAGTATGTTTTATTCTGTGGTAATAAAAAGGTGCTTTGTGTAACTACTGTATATCTCACATTGTAAAGTCCAACATGTTTAAAGCACTCTGAGAAAGTCTTGCTTACTTGTATTTTATGTTCATGTCATGCACCCTCTTCCTATTTCCACTGAAGGCCACAGGGGAGAGAAGCATGTTACTTCCTTGTACAGAAAAGATTTGAACTTTCACTTTTTGGAATGAGCTGTAAAATGTACACTAAATGAATGACCTGACCAGTGTGGGTACATTAAAAGGTCGATGTCATAAACGCCTCTTGTCTGCCCTTGTTAACTCTATGATGATAATGACAGATGGTTTTCTTAGTGTATTTAAAGTACTGTAGGGACAGGCAACTCTGGATGTCTTTAAATCCTTTCCATGCCTGCTGTTCTTGTTAATGTTAGCAAAATATAAAACCGTATTTGTCTGTGGCAGAGTGTGACCATGATGCATTCAAGTGTGAGATTCTCATTTATGTTGTAATTTTCTTTTCCTCTGAGCAGATGTTGGAGAGAGATCTTCAGAGATCCCTGATGTGAGGGTATGTGCCCTTGGACTACATCGTGGAAGCCAGCACCATGCAGTCCATGGGCATATACACTTGCCTCAAGGCTTAGATCTTCAAGACCCCACTCTGCTGTAGCATACGCCTGTGGTGCCGTAACAGATCAAAGCATCACACATTGAGCCTGACGTGTGTTTAGTGTTATTGACCTCTAAAAGTTCTACACAGTATCCATCATCTTGGCTCAGTCTCAATGTGCCCCCCTGACCACCTTCCCTCTGGCTGTGGCTTATCTTTTCCGCCACTCTCTCTTTTATTCATGTCTGTAGGGTCACATTGGCATCCCTGGGTTTTCTGGCCTTCCTGGTCCTGATGGCGAGAGAGTGAGTATTAGTGGTTTGGGGAATAAATGCCTACTGGGTTGCTTTATATGACTCTAGGGCAAAATAATTAAACAGAAATGCACTTCACTCTTGAGGTTCCACAGGCACATTTCACCAAATCATTGTTATAGGCTTAAGGTAGTGCAAGGTGCCTTATACTGTACTGAATCAAGTCCAGTGGCAAAGACCGCCTGTGCCCCCCTAACATCTCTCCTGTTTTGAATATGATTATAATGTAGGAGGCACATTGAAATTACTTAAATACCCAACAAAGATTCCCACAAACATCGAGGGCAGGGATTCTGTCATCCTCACTTAATGACAATATTAAGGTTAATGCTGACATGGCACACTGCATGGATAACATGCCAAGGCTTACTTTTGAATGCTATAAATTAGCTTGCTAAAGTAGCATTCAGCTCAAAGCGCAGCACACTGACTAAGTACAGTGCACTGTAAAGGAAACCTAAATAAGGTTTGACCCTGATTTTAATGACTACTTCTCCATTTAGGTTAAAGGTTGATCAGTTCATGGACATGTTGAGATATTACTGAAAAGCACAGCAGCTGTTAAAATAATGTTTGAAATTGTTTTGTCAGCTACTGTTGCCAGGCTAAAAAATTAGCTTTAAAGCTCAGTATTTATAGTTTTGCCCAACTAGGATCTAAGAATAGAAAAGTTGCTTCTCTATTTTTGTTCCATCCAACACTTTTGTTTAGTTATGAGAGAACCATAGCCTCACGGGGCTACTAGTGTTGCTAAAGACTTTGTCTTATCAAATGTTTTCAATGTTTTTAAATTATGCATATATATCTCTCCTTTAGTTTTTTATCCATATTTCTATGTCACCTGTTTTCTTTCCTGTTTCCAGGGAATTCCTGCAGATCACGGGGAGAAGGGCAAGATGGGTAGGCCGGTAAAGTTTTCTCTCCACATACTTCTCAGACAACATTTTTAATGCAGCCTCATGAAAGTGAGGAGGTTTTGCCTTGATCTTCAGTATGAAGTATTACTGTAGTGCTGAAGTACTTTGAAGAGTATTAAATAACCATTACTCTGACGGAGACTCTAGCTCAGTGTGAAGAAAAGTTGTGTTAAGGTTCACACTGCCATAGTGAGGCTAGGGATTACTGTAGAGGAGAAATGCCCCGAATAATGTAACTGGATGTATTGGAAACAGAAATGTTTCAAATTCCCAGTCTATTCCCTTTTAAAAATCGAAAATGTCTGGTCTCATATTAAGTCCAGTGGCTCCTGTATAAATACTGTATGATTAATTTTCTCTTTGAAGACTATTTTATGGAACTGTGTATGTCATACAGTGTGCTTAATACTGTGCCTGGTTTGTATTAGACTGATATGAGACTGATGTGTCAGTTGTAGGTTTGGCTTTGTGGAGCCTGTACCCGCAGACCAGAGAAATCTGTCGTTACTGGCGCCTGGAAAATACTAATACCACTCAAAAATTCTTATGTAAATTTGACGTTTCCCAGGCCTGGTTGTACACATTAAAAAAATATTATTATGCTGTAATGCTCAGTGACATACACTGAGGTGCTTGTAAAAGCCAAGTCATGAGCAAGCCCTTTCTCTTCCTCTGTGGTGAAAAGTGAGGTCAGCCACTTTGTGTTTTTTTTTTTTTTGCTCCTGAGTCAGCAGTAAAGCAGTGTAACAGTGACAGCAAGAGAAGGGCCTTGATCCAGCAGAGATCCATGTGATTCATATCTTAAATACTAAAACAAATGATTCCACAAAAAGACACATTCTGAAACTTGCAAAGTATGGTGTTTAACAACTCCTCTTCTCCTGTGTCAACCTCACAGATGTTGAGGAGAATCCTTATATATGTATTTTTCTAGTGAAAATTTTATTGTGCACATAAGCAGAGTGACAGACCAACCATTAGACAGATCTCATAAAGGGTCTTGCCAAGTTTGTATTCACTATGAGGAAAACACTTGCATATGTTTTTCATCATACCGAGTCGGTTGTTGTTTATGGAAAGAGGAATATTTTTCCACATTTCCTGTTTACTTCATGTTGCACCAGTTTCTGTATATTGCTTTCTCCATATTTGCCTAATGTTCTGAGGAAACAGTCTGCCATACAAACAGCCCTGTCTCTGCCATCACTTGAGGTCTTTATATTTTGATTTTTCTCTTTGTCTGTAGACACAGAATGACAGATCTGTTCTCTGCTCTGCCATTTATCATTAGTCCAACAATGGGCTTGCCTTCTCTTGGCAAGAGCAGAGCCCAGATGTGTGGTGGGTTGTATGTTGACCGTGGCACATCGCCAAGCACACAATGAGTTTGTGGCCTTGCGTTACATCATGCCTCTTGTTCTGCCTCTGCAATAAAATTATGAGCAAGAAAGGGACAAATCAGCAGCTCCTGGGCCAAGCAGCTTTATTCGGCAATTTAGGCAAGTTCTGGGGGTTTGGTCGAGTTCTTCCTGCCAGTGTGTGCTCGGAAGGACTCAGCTGTGGAATTTCCTGCCGGACTACCAGAAATGAAGCACTTTTGTGCATTTGTTTGGCTTTGAGAACACTTTGTTGTTCCCTGTGTTTGGTGTGATAGGCTTCACTGACAAACCATGTGGTATCTAAATAAATTCAGCAAAATGTGTACTGTGACCAAATGAATACAATGAAACCACTCAGTTCCCCCTCTGGTTACATGACTACTCTGTTTGTTTGCTCAGGGGTTTCCTGGTGACCTTGGAGAGAGTGGACCTCCTGGCCCTGATGGGTACCCAGTAAGTGAAATGATGTAGATGCAAACAACCTCTACTCACTGTTGGTATAGTGCAATTGTTCATATCTGTCCCTGAAGTCCACAACATTACACCTGACTGAGGTGTCACCAAACTTCATACCATATATAGCCCCATGTAAAAATGCATTGCAATGTTTTTAACAAGAGATGAAAAGTACACCTAAAAAAAGACAAAAGTAGGAAAATGCTTCTGCATCACTTTCTTTAGTTTAGGTCAAGTTAGACCACTGCCCTATGTTTGGAAAATATAGAGTGAGAGAGCTGGCATTTGCATTTCGTTTTACAGTCATGTGTATGAATTTGCTGTGAGGCCAATCACTGCAGTAAGTCACTCACCCATCATAATCCATACTGATATTAAGGCAGCATCAACAGTATCAATCTTTCTTTACTTTGACCCTCACTGCTGGTGATTGACAGGTTCAGAGTTGGATTGTGATTGGCTGACCTCTCCGAGCCTCCTTGAGGACTCGTTTCCTGTGCCTCTGGTGGGAAGAGGGGATGTTCCATTTGGCTGAATTCATCTCCTTTCATTCATAGAGGACTAGAGGAGGCGACAGGAAGCTCACAGTGGGCTGTGTGGCCTCCATCTCGCTCTCTGTTGGATGTGTAGCATAGAGAGGATGTAGGCATGGCATGTGGGTAGCTTGGACAACAAGCCTCTCTGTGCCGAGCGCTCACTCACTGTGCTAAACTGAGTGGAGAAGCATACTGTATTAGACTATCAATGGAGGAACAAAGAAGTAAACAAAATATAGAAACATGCTGTATGCTTATATGTGATTCCTCCCCCTGCCACTCTACAGCTCTGTCAGCCTGTGCTCATGTTACATCTTTTCTGTATCTCGTTCTTTCTGTTCTGCCTTTTAGGGTGAACTGGGAGCTCTTGGCCCATGTGGAGTCCCTGGTCTTATTGTGAGTGTTGTATTCTCGTCACTTAGTTTGTAGTTTATATTTTTTTGATTTATACACTTTGAGTCCTTGTTTTTTTCCATATATTGTCTTCTCTTGAGGGTCCTCTTTGTCTTTACTTCCTCCTGGAAAGCTGATTGGAGCTACTGCTTTGAAAAGGGCTATATAGAAAAGTGTGATTCCTTACTTGCACACTTACAGATGTAGTTTTGGGTAATAGAAGCAGTTGTGACAGTGAACATGTGAAATTTGACCTGTGTTTTCAGTTTAGTAAATATGTTTTATGTTTTATTGCTGACAGGGAGACATGGGTCCTGTTGGCATTATGGGCTTAGCAGGACCGCCAGGCCACAAGGTAACCAGTGTGGATGTGTTGTTCATGACTATGGTTTTGATATTGGTGTGACATTAAAATGATACCTTTTGGTTTATTATTTTTCTTAACCAGAATGTCTTTAAGTACCAATTCAGTGAGTTGCTTATTTGGATAAAATCTGTAAACCTTGTGAACTCTTCACTCCATGGTCATGTCTTCTTCTAAAAGCCTGACGGTGTAAACTCAAGCTAACAGGGAAAAGTGATGTTACTGTTTTCTGTTCTGTTTTTGCAAGGGAGTACCAGGGAACCCAGGGGAACCAGGACTGGAAGGTGATCAGGTGATCTGCATATTTCTTTCTTAGATCACTGACCACTGAATATGAGAATGCATGTGAATAACTGACTTTGGAGAAAACCAGCAGACACCTATAATGCCCACCTGGAATGAATCTCTCAGTATTATTATTATATTTCTCACCTTATTTTGTGTTTTCTTAGGGAGACGTTGGCTTACCAGGAGTGCCAGGGGAGCGTGGGTTCCAAGGGGACAAGGTATGTTGGCCAGGTGGCAGACAGGTTTATCCATTAATCACAGCATTGGTGCTTCTGTTCCTGGCTTCTTTCATCAGCATGTCGAAGTGTCTTTGAGCAAGACAGTGAACTTCAGAATTCTTCCAGTGACTAGACTACAGCATTGTGTGGCATCTCTGCCACTGTCTGTGCGTGTGCATGGGTGAATAAGAGGGATTATAGATATTGGGTTTGTCTTCTTTCCTGCTTCAGTCCATCTATAACAGTTTTACTCACAGTTTCAATGTTCCTCTGTGTGATTAGCATGTTCAGATTTTTTTTTTTCCACACTTGATTACATTATAGTGAATTTTATGTTACAGGGTACCTATGGCATACCTGGGTTACCAGGTCCTCGTGGAAAACCTGGATTGCAGGCAAGTCCCATTCATTAAAGCACTGAGCACCAGAAGAACATAAAAAGCTATTTCCAAAATGTCTATGCTTTGTTGACTAAAGTTATGAGGTTACTGGCAGGAAATCTCATCACTGATTTGTGTCGTGACATTGCATGTGGAATTTCTCAGGGCAAACCTGGTGAAAAGGGCCCTGATGGCTTACCTGGTCCTCCTGGCTCAGAGGTAGGATAGCTCATATTTGCTAAGTATTATGTTGACTATTTGTCTTACCGTATCAATATATTTAATGTGTTAATGCAGAAAGTATGCTACTGTGTTGTGATGAAACTGTGGTTTAATTTCTGACATTGTTAAAGGGCTTTCCAGGTGACATTGGCCCACCAGGACAAAATGGCCCAGAAGGGCCCAAGGTTGGTAGTGTAACACTGACTCTTCAGACCTGAATTGTCAAGTGTAATAAATGAAGTGAAATTTCACTTTCAGTCTTGTTATCTATAGGGAAAGCAAGGGGCTGGAGGTTTGCCAGGTCCAACAGGAACACCTGGACTTCAGGTTGGTTTGACTTTGGTATATCAATATATTTTGAAAATGAGCGAAAGATAAAGACATTTTTCTTCCCTTGACCTTTTTCAATAATTTTCTTGTCAGGGTGATAAAGGAACAACGGGGCCAGCTGGACCCGCTGGACCGGAGGTGAGTGCTGAATGAATAATCCCTGCAATTTATGACCAGTTAGCAAACACCACAAAACAGTAATCATGTAGGATCTGCTATACACAGCAGGCAACAACACACTCTACACACAAGCAACATGTGCCTCTGCCTAAATTTAGGCTTCCCTGAATTTGCAGTCTCTAGTCTGTTATGGACTTTGGCAGACTGATCTCTATGTTGTTCTGCTCTCTGTATACTCATATTACCAGATTGGTCAGCAAATTGTTAGACTTCTTTTTGTTATTAAAAACCACACACTAACAAGCAATAAATCAAAACGACTATCTTTCAATTTCAAACCAAGCATATAGCTGTTTGTAAGATATATTTAATGTGATGATTAATTCATTGTAAGAAAGAAAATACTTTGACTGAATACCGACAATAGTGAATTATTTGTGTCTTTTGGGGATGTCAATAAAAGTTATTTAATCTAAGATTGTGGAGAAATAATTCAAACTGGCTCCTTTGTTGTTTGTTTTTCAAAAATCAATTTATATTCTTAGTTAGCAGCATTTGTCCATGGACCACAGTCAATAAAGTTGCCGTGGAAGCCAAACTTAAGACTTTATAAGAGACAAATGGAGGGCTTTGAACTGATTCAAAAAAGTGTTGGTTTGGAGTTGTCCCAGACCAAACAAATGAGAAGACTTTAACAATGAAACATTATTTTTGCAGTCTTTGACTCCAATCTATTTCCCAAAAGTGTAACCCACTGAAAACAAACTCAAATAACCCAGTGATTTTTGGGAGTAATAAGAAACCTTTGATGCTGCAAAAGCCTCTTTGTTTTCTGGATCATTAACTTTCTTAAAGAGATGTTTTAGTTTTGGCATCAATTGTTGGTTTGTCTTGTGCCTTAGCCTCTCGAGGGACAGCAGTTTGCACCTTTTACAGTAAAGAGGGGTTTATTTGTTGTGTGGAGCTTCAGTACAATTCTGTGTGTCACTTTTGTTTTCTGTTCAGGGCAGGCCAGGGAGGCAGGGATTTCCTGGGCCGACAGGCCCGGATGGATTCAAGGTCAGACCTAATAATCACACATCCTCTGTTGAACCACTGTCCTCCTTAACTGAACATTTGTTCCTTGATTGTCTTTATGATAATGTATCATCCGAATAAGTGTAAATTAGATGTTAATTCTCCATTACCACAGGTGGAATGGGCCTCCAAGCATATTTCAACTGATTTAAACTAAAAACGAAAGGCATGAACAAGTTTGTGTTATGCTAATGACCTATTTTGCTGTAGGGTGAGACCGGGATAACTGGCGAGGTCGGAAAGCTTGGCGAGAGGGTAAAGGCTTTTCTTCCTTTTCTTCTGCACATTTCTGTTTGTTGCTCACTTGTTTGTGGTGTTTTGTTGGAGCCCCAAAGCTCAGCGGCCTATTATGACCAATATACCTTCAGTACACCTAAGAGGAACAAGAGATTAAGACTGCATGTTCTCTGTCCTTCAGGGACTGCCTGGTTCTGTTGGTCCTGTTGGAGAGACAGGCATAGCTGGAGAAAAGGTTAGCATGGTGCCAGTTTATCACATTTGCTGTCATCCATTGTCCTTTTTAATCTGTTGCTCTTTGTTGATATATCAGTCGCAGCAATTTTAGTAATCTGTTAATTGTTCAAGCAAAAATGTGAAACATTTGATGGTATGGCTTCTCAAATGGGCAAATTTCCTACTTTTCTTTATATAATTATAATATCTATCTGTACCAACCTATAGTCACTGTAAAATATGTATATTTCAGATTTAGACTGTTTCTCTGACAAGACCAGAAATTTGAAGGCATCAATTTGGGCTCTGAAATTGTGATTGGCATGTTTGACTGTGTTTTGATATTTGGTAGACTGAAAGACATTAGTTGATAATGAAAATAATCATTAGTTGAAACCCTGCCTATGATGTTTCTCTAATTGTGGACTGTGGTTCCTCAGGGTGATCGAGGGAAAACAGGCGACCCCGGGCCACCAGGTGAACCGGGGCCAATGGTAAGGAGTAAGTCTGGACCCTGTCTCTTGTAACAGGGGGCATTCAGTTCTACATACATAAGGGATGGGGGTGTGATTTGTTTGAAGAGACTGATTTAGGTGATTAAACAATAATCACAGAATGGGCATATAGTATAGATAGTTTATTATTTATTTGATAAATCATATAGATATCATTTGAATAATGTTGTTGTCATCAGGGTCACACTGGAATACCTGGAAAGACGGGGCCATCTGGACTACAAGGGATCCCAGTAGGTTTGCTGTTTTCACTCTCAAAGCTTTACAAGTATGGTCAGAAGTTTGGTGTGTTGCCCTTGTAAACACCCAACTGTGACATCACAGTGTACTGAGACACCCTGAAATACACGTCTGCTTCGCTGCAGCAGTTAAGCTAGTTCAGCAAAACAAGAGTTCCAGTTAGTGTTAAGCTAGTCTAACTGAAAGAAATTTGTTGACTTTTGTATTTGGCTGATTGAAGAAAACCCAGGACACGAGAGTTTACCAGTTCAGACAGTTTATTTAACGAGATCAGGTGAACACTGCACATACTACAGTATCATAACATGGTATAATCCTCACCAAGAATCAGTTGGGTTCGTCTTGTATTTATGGAAACTACAGAAATTCCTGGCATCTACATTCTAACTTTAGCCTAACCTACTTACATTTAATGATGTGTCTAAATTTGTATAGCACCTTATATAGAAGATAAAATGCAGGCTTGGGCCTTTGAAATGTTGTGTGGCCTAGATGGTTGTGTTTAAAATTAAAACATGTTACTCTAAACATGTCTCAAATGTTCCAGCTATTCCTGGCATACAACCAGTCACATGATCACCTGCTGTTGCGTGTAATGATGATGCAGTCCTGAACTCATGTTAAGCAAAATTACTGACAGTAACAAAAGTCTATTATTGTATATGAATCCTTTATAAAGGCACTAAAAATGCAACCTTTGATAGCTATAATTACTGTATATTAAACAACTGAGCTGATGTGTACTTGATGTTGTTAATAAAAATAAGAATGAGACCTAGACAACTGTCCCTTGTATCTTAGTTTCCAAAGTTAAAGCTCAGACTTATGTTTCTCTCCACACACATTTAGGGGCCTCCTGGTTCACGTGGATCCATTGGCATCAGAGGGCCCAAAGGTCTTAGGGTAAGTAACTGAAATCTGTGACATAAGATTATATAATCATTAGATGACACATGCTGTGTTGTAGCATATGATATGATGCAACAGTTCAGTCTACTCACATTTCATGGAACTGGCATCATTGTTGTAAGGATGACTGTGTGTGTTGGTTCCACACTCTGGTCCAGAATAACATGTCTGAGTTGCTTTCAGATATTTTGTGCTGACATTTATGGTTACCCAAAATGTTTGTCCAGTACTTCTCCAAATACCTGCAAAATGAAGGGCACTCCCGTCAGCCCTACCTTTCGTTTTTCTTTAGTGCTCTTTAGCAAATAGCATGCCAACACATTCAAGTGTTTTCTACGTTTTTCGGCTAACACATTAAACTAACATGGTAAATCTGGTAAACAGTGTCTGCTAAACATCACAATAGTGTTATTAGTTTTAGCATTTAGCTACAGCCTCACAGAGATGCTAGCGTGTCTGCAGATGTTAACATACAGTAGGTCTTATCCAAGAAAACATACATTTTGCAGTATGGGACGTTATGTATTTTACATAATTTGCACTATCAGCAATAACATTTGTTTAGAATAAATATAAGATGAACAAGCTCCCGCAGGAAATCCATCTTCTGAACCATGAACTATGTTTTAACAATACATTTATCTTCTTGGGCTGCTCCGCCCTGGACAGAAGTACCACGAAACCAGGTGTGTTGTCATGTGATTTTCCAGGCGGCAGCTGAACAATGGGTCCTTTGCTCCGCAGACCCCCTATGTGTGCAATCCCATTACAAGACAAAGCAGGACCTCATGAATATAAACACTGTGTGTACACAGAAGTTAAAGTAGTCAGTTTCTACTTCAGTATCACTTGACTCTCATCAGTACAATTGGAAATTATACATGCAAGGAAAATAAATGTATTAAAGTAACCAAGGCTCAGTAGTTCTGGTCAATCATCAGTACAGTTTTACCATGTGTAAGCAAGGAAGGTAAACATATGAAACGTAACTGAAAGACAATGAAGAACTGAAAAGTAACCAAAACTGATAAAGTAACTAGTGTCTATAAGACTCAAATCTTACAATGTTATAGTAGTTAACATGAACAGTGATGAACAGATCAAAACTTAGCATCTACAGATTGTATCTTTTTGAAGTGCAATGCAAAAGTACCAGACTGAAGACTACTCAGTAACCTTCAGAGCACATGAATTCTAACATACTAAGCAGTTTGTCCTGACATCTCACTACATACAGTAAAACACTGTGGCGTTTCTGTGCATGAAAAATGTGTCTGTCATGAGCTGAGGAAAAAGTTCTGTGCATTGATTCTTCTATAATTGACTTTTCTGCTTTGTGAAAATAGCCCTTGGTTGCACAGCAAGCTCGTTGGACTGAATGAATAATTGCTCCAACTTGAAGAAATGATATAATTAAGGCATTTCATTCTTTAGATTGGTTTTACAAGGCTTCCCTGATATCACAGTCACAAATATATTTAATAACTGTAATGACTGACATTTACATCAAAGCTTTGGGAAATAGAATTAAGGTAAGTATGATTAAACACCAGTTGTTTTTGCAGTGTCTCAAGTAATTCCCAATCAGCAAGAATGGGGAAGAACACTAATAACCTTTTCCTGAGCCCAATGTTTGGTGTTTAAAACTGACATTTTCACATTTTAAAAATGATTCCTGAAACGAGTAAAACAAATATGTTTCACTCGTACTCCTCTGTTACCTTTTGTTTGTTCTCAAATATTGTTTCAATATTTTACTTTTAGAAGTTTTAGTCATACTTCACCCATACATCAGCATAATGTCACTGTGTCTTTCACTTGTTTGCCCCCATCCAATTGGACTTTACAATCTTCACCTGATGCATTTCGTCAATATGTAAGCAAGTCATTATCATAATTTAGTTTTAGGTGTTTCCACTGTACTTAAAAACCCAAGTATTAAAACAAAGATGGTGAAAGTGGGTGAGCTTAAAGCTGACATGCCTGTTCAGGTTGAATGGGTCTAAAAAAAACAGATTTATGGAGTGATCAATGGATAGTAAATGCCTGCACTTTAAAATATGTCCAACTTAATTGAGAAAAAGCCATATAGTCACAGTACAGATTGTTCCCCTAGTTCCATGAAGGCAGGTTAGTTAAATTAAATGAAAAACTCTTTTTTATTTATGTAATAATTCAAAATATTTTTGGATGATCAGAAAGCTTATTGGATTGTATTAATATTTTGTTATCAATCATGCACAGCCACACCACTACCTCAGTTTCTCAACAGTCTTGAACAAATTTGTCTGTTATTACCAAACAGCAATGAAAAGGCCATGTGTAAGTAGGATTTGTATTCTACTCTGGTTCTGTTTAAATAACTTTTATATGAGATGCTTACATGAACAATTTTAAGGGCGAGGATGAGTCAGCAACAGGAGTAGTGACCTTTTTCCAAGGCTTCTTTGCAATAACCACATTGTACCACTGTGTGTAATCGTGGAAACATAGGCACAAAGTCGAGCCAGTGTTCAGCACACTGTGGAGCTAATTTGCAGATGCTAAGTAATTGCAAAATAGCCACATTTTTTGTTGGCATCTGTTCAATGTGGGCTGCATAGTACACTTAAGACAAAGAGAATTGCCTCCCAGGCTCCACTAAATGGAGATGACAGAAATGAAGATTAAGTGCCTAAATGTATTGCCTTAATATTAAACAACTTGTACCTCAGGTCTGTTAAAGGCCAGGTTTTCCAAAGCTGCTCATCAGTGACAGCTAGTATTTCTTTTTTATAGGGTCCAAGGGGTCCTGATGGCCCAGTGGGGGAGGAAGGGTCTGCTGGAGTAAAGGTGAGCGCATAGTCAACAGCAATTTTGAAAACCTCAGTTCAAGTTTGTGGCAAATATTTGGTGGTTAAGCTACATGCCAAAGTGCCTTAGACATCCTTAGTGCACACACTGAATCTGTCCTGTGGAAAATAAGGACAAAAAAGAAAAAGTAACCCAAGTTTCTTAGCAATCGTGGGAACTTATACCAGCAGCTTGTCCAGGAGACTAATTAGTAACTATTTTCTACAGAATCTTGAGATGATGCTAACTACAAATCTAACAGCAGGACTATTGATGGTTTTTGGCTTTGTAGTTGGGATTTTAAAAAGCTCATTTAACTGGGTTGGATGTTTTCTCTGCAGGGCCCTGATGGACCACCAGGAAAATTTGGCCTCCCTGGGGAGTTGGTAAGGAAACTTAGGCTTTTTCTTTTTACTTTCCCTTCATAACGTAATGACAGGGCGGCTGTAGCTCAGGAGTGGTCATCCACTAAATAGAAGGTTGGAGATTTGAGTCCTGTTCTTCCTAGTCCACATGTTAAAACATCCTTGGGCAAGACACTGAACCAACCCCAAGTTGCCCTTGATGGTCAGCGCAGCACATAGCAGAGACAACACTGCCATTTTGGAACTTTTCTTAATGAAGAACTATTTCCCTGGTTGACTTGAAGAGAAACTTTAAGCAAGAGCAGAGAAACGTGCTTACAGTTTGATGTACATTAAACTGTGTGCTTGATGTTACATACAATACAACACACGATCATGGTAAAATGCACATTTATTTACAGTCCCATTTGGTGCAGCTGTGACTATAGCACTGCTTCATTCACACCATGCCTTTGTGACTGCCATTGCTAATGGCTTGTGAACTTGCAGAGACATTCATTAGTGCAGAGTAGTTTTAGTTGTTTGGTTTGAAAATTAACAATTTACCAGCATGATAATTGAATAATTCTTGAAGTAATTTCAACAAAAAGGCCCAACATTTAATGACCTTTTCGGCTAATGAAAAGTCAGGATTTGCCTCTTTCCTTTAATAAAACTGAATGTTTTGCACTTTTGGTTTGACAGTGCAAGTAATTCTAAGTGATCACATCAGGCTCTAACAACCTGTGACTGGACGTTGTTGCTTTTTAAATTTAAAATCTCAGAGAAAACACAAAGAACTGAGCACTAGAGTCTGAACTGGTATAAGACCAAACAAAAGCATTAAAAGCTCTTTACTTGTTTCTGTTTTGTCGTTTGCTGCAGGGAAGGCTTGGTGAGCCAGGTGAAGCTGGGCCTAAGGGATTTCCAGTAAGTGATTGGGGCTAACAAAGGTCTCTTTTAGGTCAGTCTTGATTTTTGGGGTGGACACATTTTGGGGAACTGTAGTGGATAAGAGAAGCTGGTGTGGAACATTGTTTTTCTAGTGGGCATTGTAGCATGTCAACATGTGTACAGTATGAATACCAGTGATGTATGCTATAAACAGCTCTATTGTTTTCAGGGTGTTCAAGGACCCTCAGGACCTCCAGGAGCCAAAGGAATTGCAGGAAAGCCAGTGAGTTTATAATTTATTAATCTGAATATACCCCATATTTAAGAATAAATCCCTTTAAGAAATAGCAGGCAACAGTATGGTAATGTTTCCTTTTCTTTGTTTTTATTCCATCTGGTTCAATTATGTAAAATTTAGAAAGCTGTAGAATCTCTCACAGGAGGGTATAGACAGACACCATGTTTCATTGTCTGTAATGAAACAGACAATGAAACAACATGGTTCTCCAGCACCTACTGTGCACTCTTCTTCTTGAACCTTACTTAACTGAATTTCCACTTTGACACCTGTTATTGAGTGCTTCCTAGAAATCCATGTCTGGTCGAAAAGCCCTGAACAACCTAATTCTTGTTCTCTCATTCTGCCCAAGTCTCACAGACACAAGCAGAGTAGTAGTGAGTCTGAGACAATTTGATTTACACCATCTCCTTCTGGAGAGGCAGCTTTATTATAGCCTGAACGTGTCTCTGTAACAGCAGGCCTGTTTCTATCACTTGCAGATTCTTTGGCTTGGTGTTTTGAAGGCTCCTAGCCCTGCAGATTAACTGATCTCTACAAATCAACACTTTCTGCATGGTTCTTATTTCTTTACACATTTTTCCTCCTCTGCTGTCACTTGGAAAGATGTTTGTCCAAGATTAAAAAGCACTCTTAACCTTTTTATTGATGCCTCTGGATTGTCGCCACAGGGACCAGCAGGGCCACCAGGAACTGTAGGGCCACTGGGAGAGATGGGACCAGTGGTGAGTTTGATCACACAGCTGGCGCAAGAGCTCCCACTGACTGTTACATTAGCGCTGAATAAAGGCTGTCACTGTTTCTGACAGGGGTTGCTGGGAAAGGCTGGAGAAAGAGGGGTGCCTGGTGAACCCGGAGAGAAGGTGAAGACGTTTGTATTGTGTTCTTTTCATTGATTACTGAGACATTGGATTGGTCAATGAGCACTTGTCTTTTGTGTTTTGCATAATTAAAATTGCGATTACATTGATGCATTGTTATCACATGGCAGTCTTTGCACTTGTACAGGCAACAAAACAGAAATCACCTACTCCAGTTTGCAGTTCCATTAGGTTGATGTTATGGTAGAGGAAAAGTGAGAAAGGCTCTTATGCACTTTTGTGGATAATAAAATTTGATTTCTCTATGAAATATAATTTATGTACATGCATAAAATATTTTTGTACTAAAAAGGTCCATTAGTGCACTCAGGATTGAGGCACAAATGTAATGCCATGCTAATCTCCATTACTGAGAAAGTAGTTTTGGTAAAACACCCATGGTGAGGCGAAGGTTGTACATCAAGAGATATAACACCTCACTGATGACTTGACCATGTTTCTTCCCCTGACAGGGTGCTATTGGTCTGCCTGGCAACATCGGGGAGCAGGGTTTGATTGGCCAGAGAGTAAGTATGCCATATTTTCCTTCTGTTAAGTATTAATGAGGTAAAGCACATTGTTTGGCTTGATGTCTTCGGGATTAGTCTGTAGTGCATGAAATAATAGAAACAGAAAAGCCACTGAATGAGATGCTGTGTCAAAACCTTTGACTGGTACTGTGCTTTTATTTGTTCATCAGGGTGAGACAGGTATCGAAGGGGAGACTGGACCAAGTGGACCTGACGGAGCCAAGGCAAGCATGACAATGAGATATACTGTGAATGAAAATTTGAGATATACCATCACAATAAAACTGTGATGTTACCTTGAAAATGTAGCCACATTCTTATTACTAATTTCAACATCATTCTGCCCTGAAGCTGTGTGTCTGTGAACCCAGTGAACCAGCTTTTTTACTGCAACAGCTTATTGTAATGAGAACAAGTTGAGTATTGTTTGTGAGATATTTGACTTTGTACAGCTGGAGCTGCATTGTGTTGATGCTTAGTGAAAACCGATAACAGGGCTATTTTAACAGCTCTTCTGTCTGGCAAGTGTTGAAAAAAAAGGCAGTAAAAGCCTGCCTATTCAGCAGAGCTAAACCACTGCACGTATGGCTGACAGAGCCACAAACAGCTTTAGGCTCAGACAAGGCGGTAAAATGTGAGCACAGAGAACACTGATGATTAGAATAGATCAACCTGAGAGTCTGTTTAGCTTTCTGCTGTACAGGACATTTTCTGTTAGGCAGGAGAGTGAACTATGTTGAGGGGTTCTTGGCCACAGTGCAGCTCTTGAATGTTAAACAGCAGCTCAAGAACAGTTTGCAGCTTGTGCTGTTAACTGGGGATGCAGTGCAGTGCAGTGTCATGATTCAGTTTCAAACTTGAAATTCATCAAATCATAAAATTCTGTTTTTATGATCAGAGTCATTACATCTCTCAGTGTCAGATGTTTTAATCGGTAATTGAATAACTTTGGTGAGATGAAGTCTATTCATGACATAAAATTTTACAAGAAGTAAATTAACTCAAGTTGTTGCAATAAATATTCTTTTGACTGCCACCCTGCTCCATTTAAGTTTAACACCTAATTCTTGCCTCCAGGTGAGCCTACGGCTTTTGTATATGCAGTTTCAGCTGCTCTTGAGAGAACCCATGTATAATTTTAAATAAATATAGATACATAGATGGATAAGCTTTATTGTCATTATACTGCAGTGTAAGACAGCAATACAATGAAACTGTGAAGGCACACCCTGAGTAGACTCTCATTAAAACAATTTAAAACATTAAGGTGTTTAAAAATGAAAATAGTTAAAGTACAAAAATGCATAAAACACTAAAAGCAGCAGAAGGCACATAATAAAAATAGTCTGAGCATCTGCACTCCAGCAGCGTGTCACTGTGTCTGTGTGTGATTGTGTGTGTGGTTGTGAGAGTGAGGGGGTAGGTGGTCTGGCCATGTTTAGCAAATTTAACAGCTTGAGGGGAAAAGCTGTTATTTAATCTGGTTATGCATATGTAAAGCACCATATAGATGAAAGAAACAGAGTGAAATGCAGGTGGTCCCTCTCTTCACTGTTTGAACCACAGGCTTGGGATAAGATGAGCCATGCAGTATTTCTGTGAGTTGACAGGGGGAATGATGGGAGAGATAGGTTAAAAAAAATCTGGAGAAAGATTCCAAACAACACAAAGTTGTAAAACAAATGGAGAAGTGTAGAGTACAGCCATTTTTAAAGGATAAAGCTGATCATTTAATCCAACAATTAATTGTCTCTCTGTCTCCCCTTAATTACCTTATTCATCTGTGCCATAGACCTCCACTGTTCAAAAACAATTAAAAAGACACAGGGGAAATACCGTGCTCCACTGGGGACATGTTTCCTTTGGGGCAACATTTAAAAAAAATATGCCGGGCTGGTGTTTCATAATGAAGAAATACTGTATGTCACCCAATGCAGCGGAATGTTTCCCTGATGTGTTTTTAATCATTTTTGAACAACAGTGGAGGTCTATGGCACAGATGAATAAAATAATTAAGGACTGACAGATTGACAGATATCCTTTAAGCACTCTTTGGCCTTCTACTGTGTAGGGTCTCAAGTGATATGTTAATATGTGCCAAGGAGTCCTCTGTTTTCTCACTGCAAGATCTAAGTCTAATACTCTTCTTTTCCTGTGGTGTTTCTCAGGGCTCAATTCATGGCCCAGACTTAGATTACATTTACATGTTCAGTTGGGCAGATGCTGGTTGTTTTGGCTGCATTTCTTAAAGTGCCCATGGCATGCTCATTTTGTTTCCAGCCATTTAATGTTTAATGTTTAATCTTGGCTACCGGTGGATGTCAGGCAAACTTGCATGAATGCGCAACGGCCTGGATTTTATGCCCATTCAAGGAGATCCTTGAATTATCTTGTAATACTTTATTTTGTTAAAAAAAATCTCATGAGCAAGAGTTTGGGAGATGTGTATAAACCCAGTTGCTTCTGCATAGAAATACTAGAACATACGTACACCTTATTATTTGAGCTTTAGGACACCTCTAGGATGATAATTTGCCATTGTAACATTGTAGATAAGTCAAAAAACATGTCATGGACTCTTTAACTTTGGTACATGGTTAGACCTTGACTTACCTTTTCTTTAACTTGCTGCAAGGCTGGTGGACATGTTGGCTTTCTTACAAGATGGCTGCTCAACTGTAAAGAGTCAGTCTACAAACTTGCAACAAAACTGAAGTCCTCATGATCAGCTCTGATAAGGTGGCAGTAGATACAGCTGATGAACTGATGGACTGTGAATACTGAATGAAATGACAGATTTGATTTATAATCTGCAACCCTTCTCAAAATCAAGCTCCCAATCATAGACTCTTAGAAAAATACACAAGAGGCAGGAATCTACATTCACTGGATCAGGCTCAATCACTGTTCTAGAGGCAAAATTCATGACTGTAGGCGAAGTTTTGATGTTGGGGCCCCCCGGTTCTGTAAGTATCTTTAGTTACTCAGATTTTAGAGACAAAGGTTTGAAGTGGAGTGGGGATATGAATTGTTGTTTCAGAATAATTTGACTGACTAAGGTTGCCTGGGATTACATCAACATACTCCAGTATATTGTATTTTTAATTGGACTTGTACTACTGTACCCAGGGTGAAAAGGGGGATGCTGGTCCAGATGGCACAAAAGGAAACAGGGGTGATGTTGGCCTGAAAGGAAAGGAAGGACATCTTGGGCCTCCTGGACTGGTGGGTGTAAGGGTGAGTGTCTCAGCAGCCAGCTCCAAATTTCACTCAATTCCCATGAAAAGGCAGCTCATTTTGTCGACTCACAACCCTGTTTGATTTTCTCTTATCAGGGCCAGGAGGGCAAACCTGGCAAAATTGGTGAAAGAGGAAAATCAGGAGAACAGGTTTGTCAGTTCACTTGCCTGGGGCGTAAACACACCTTGCATTTTTGAATGCAAGGTTTACTCATTTAATACAGAGGTAGGAGCATTCTCTGTTGAGGTAACAGACCCGAAGGACTTTCTGTATTAAATATTTGAATTGTCAAACTGCCCAGATAACAGTTCAGGAAATCTTTTTACACTCACTGCATAACCTGCCCATTGATGGTCTCTGTCCAGGGGAGCAAGGGTCATCAAGGTCATCTGGGTGAGACGGGGCCTACTGGTGAGCAGGGAGAGATGGGGTTTGTTGGACAGAAGGGAGCAAGAGGAACCATCGGGCCAGTGGTAAGTAGTTTAGAGATTAAGGACTTAATTGATTGGTGGTGGATGTTGGTTAAAATCCATATATTTCCCTAGGGCATTCCAGGGAGGATGGGCCTACAAGGACAACTAGGCATAGCAGGTTACGCGGTAAGCACTTCTTCATTAACAGCGATGGAAATATAAACTGTTCAGCCACAACATTAAAATCACTGGCAGGTGAAATGAATAGTATAGGTTATCTCATTACAATGGTACCTGTCAAAAGGTGGATTAGCCACCAATCAGCCATAACATTATGACTACCTGCCTAATACTGTGTACACAGGAGTTGGCTGGCACTCGTGTCACTCTCCAGCTCACTGTTCATCTTCTGTGAATCCGTTTTCCTCCATATTCAGGAAAAGCACTATTGTGTCTACCATTCACTGAAAAACTTGTGTTAAAGGAGAGATTTCGACAAATTCAACAGCCTCACCACTCTAGGTGTGATATCACCACTACAGCCACTGAATGTTTCTCTTCATAGAGAACCAATATACAGTATTTCTCATTTTAAACCATGTTAACAAAAATTCAAACAAAATGGGATCTTTTTAAAAGTGTGAATGACATTTAAAAATTTAATCTACACTAGGTCAGTCTCATCATCAGTGAGCCTTGGTTGGCCACGACCATGTTGCCAGTTCACTGTTTGTCCTCCCTTAGGCTACTTCTGGTGGGTAGTAACCACTGCAGACTGGGAACAGCAACACGACCTGCAGTCTGGGAGAAAGACCCAATCGTCCAGCTACCACAGTTTGGCCCCTTGTCAAAATCACTCAGATCCTTATGCTGCCCATTTTTCCTGCTTTCAGCACATCAACTTCAAGGACTGAATGTTCACTTGCTGCCCAATATACCCCCGACTCCGACAGGTGCTATTGTAACAAGATAATCAGTGCTATTAACTTCACCTGTCAGTGGTCATAACGTTATATACAGTTTTAATTCAAGACCACATAAACAAACTTTAAATAAATAAATGGAGAGTAGGGAGTCTTTCCTCTACCTAAATGTGCCTCTATTCGATGTATCCACACCAGGACAGCACTTTACATTTGCCAGCTATTGCAGGAGTGATGGAGAAACTGCTCTGAGATGGAGTGTGACAACAAACTTTCTTTTTTGTGTGCAAAGGAGAGAAAAACAACAACATTGCTGGTCTTCACCTGTTTACATGCATAACAGATTCAGGATAAGACTGATGATTCCAAATTTATGACTAAAGTAGAATCAAATTATTGAAACATATAGTGCTGACTTGACTGATGAATCACAAAATTGCATTTGTCATGGCAGCAGAAGATGGAGAGATGATTGATGACACTGTTTTGGAAAATGTATCCTCAATTGTCTGTACATTGATTCCATGTGTTTCTCTACACTACAAACAGTATTTCACACTCTAAAGTGGAGTGAAGGCTGGGAGATTATAGTGTTCCAATTATATTCAGTCACAAACTCTTTTTCTTTTCCCAGGGTCACATGGGACCACAGGGCCCACTGGGACCTCCTGGACCAAAAGGTGAAAAGGTACATTCCCACACTTTGTCTCTAATGCACCCTGGTTTCATTTAATGATGGTATTACTTAACAATCTAAAACTTCTGAGCAGCACATTGTCTTTGAGTGTTTTTGTATGCATCTGGACTTCAGTTGTGTCTCTAATTATTGCCTTTTCTATCTGTCTTGTTGTCCTTGCAATATTCCTGAAGTCATCCCTAATTTGATCAATAATATGAGCTAGGACACATCCAATTAACTCAGTGCTGTCAACTGTATATAATTAGCCAAGCACCTGGACTCTTCGGCTTATGATTTTGGGTATATTAGTACTATAATTTATGTTTATTTGACAGGCGCGGCACAGAACAGAACACACTGCACCTGAGTTTAGTGAGACACTAATTTGCATTTTTTTAGTTCCTGGGTAGAATCCATGTGTGGATATGTTTTTGTTTGTTTTTGTTTTTTGCCAATTACCTCTTAATAGTGGCTGCACGTGCTTTTTAATTAAATCAATACCATGCTATCACACGGACCATTGAAATGTATGCCTGACAGTTGAGAGCACCAGGTAACCCTGGTGCTTAAACATACCCTGTAACACCATTATGTTAAGAGCAGTATGTTTCTTATCTTATCAGTTTTTCTAAGCCAGTGGCCATCACTAATTATCCTACAGCTTTCAGATGCCTGCTGGGCTCTTGTTTTAATTTATTTTATCTGTCACATGCACAACACATGACTATTAAAATCATACACACTTCTGTAGTTATTGTTTAACGAATCCCATAAAGGCTCTGGAATAGACATTGGCCCCATTTATGTGAAATGGGATCATTGTGGGTAATAGCGCATGTAATGATTTTCCATTCATATAAATAGAGTGGGCAATCTGTTCCCATTGTTATACTCTCTCAAACAAAACATGCATTGATTTTGCACAGACCACTGGGTCTAAGGGAAATTTCATTGATTGTGGTTGTTTCTGTATTGCTTGTTTAGGGTGAACAAGGAGATGACAGCAAGGTAGAAGGTCCTCCAGGTCCCCAAGGTGACAGAGTGAGTTTCTTACATGCACCAGCTTTTCTGTGCTCTTTGTGAGGGTATTCTGGATTATTTTATTGATTTGTGGGTTTTTTTTTGTTTGTTTGTTTGTTTTTTTATATGAATCCAGGGTCCTCCTGGAAACAGAGGAGAGAGAGGAGAGTCAGGTGACCCAGGACACATTGTAAGTGCAATAAAACTGACATGTTTGCATTGGTGTTCAGGTATTGTGTGTGCTGAGTACAAGCCTGGTAGGTGTCTCAGATCTGCAGGGATTGGTCAGCTAGTGGAGCCCAGAGTTTGAACTAAACAAGGTGAAAAGGGCTTTAGCCATTATACTGCCCACAGCTAGAACCAGCTCCCCTTGGAACTTAGATCTGCCCAAGCTGTAGCCACTTTTAAAACTAAACTAAAGACTGTTCTTTTTTGACTGCTTTTAATTGATTCTACTCAGTTTTACACTCTGTCTGCATGTATCATAACTGAAGTAAAGGGTTATAAGAATAATGAGAACAGTGAGAGTCCACAGTCTACCACAACTATCCTAAAAGTATTGGGTATCTACACTTGTGTGTTGCTACTTTGTGCTGTCATGTAACTGTTGGTTTTCATTTGCATTTTAATGTTTTATCTCTGTGTGGATTGTGTTAAGCATTTTGAATTGCCTTTGTGTATGAAAATGTTTTGCCTGCAGTGTAGTATAAATTAGGTTTAAATGATGTTTTGTACATTGAAATGCAGAAACCTCTGTTCCAGGGTCAAATAGGTTTTGATGGAAAGAGAGGTGAAGCTGGTGCCCCAGGGCTTCCTGTAAGTATATCAGTTTTGTTTCTTAAAAACTCTGTAAAACTCAGGTTATGTATGTAGACACTGTGTCAAATTGTCAACTCACAATTAATAAGTAATGATCATTCTAGGGGCATCCTGGGCCAAAGGGAAAACCAGGGGTGAAAGGATCCAAAGGTGATCAAGTAAGGACAGTGGCATGATTATGCTTTGTGAGGGAAATCAGTTATTTCATGCATTATTATTGGAATGTATTTTCTGTCATGCAACCATGTCAGAACTGTGGAACATGACCTCTTTATGCTCCAGGGACAGAAAGGAAAATCAGGGGCAACAGGCACATCTGGAAACAAAGGACCACCAGTGAGTTGGACACATTTCTTGTCTTGCCATATAATCAGACATTATATTGTTTTTATAAACATTTGTAATTATCTTTTCTAAGGGTCCAGAGGGTCCTCCTGGTCCACGGGGAATTGTGGGCAGGGAGGGACTGGAGGGGCTGCCTGGAATGACTGGACTGCCTGGTAAAGATGGAAGTAAAGGAGCCAAGGTAAGGGCTGTCAGTGATGCCCATTTAATTGAGAAGAACAGCGGTTTTGAGTCATGTTGAAAGGAATTTGTTGACTTTTGTATTTGGCTGACCGAAGAAGACTGAGAACATGGGAGTTTCCCAGTTCACGCAATTTACTTAATGAGTTTACATCAACATTGCACATCATAATATATACAGTCTTCATAAAGAATCAGATGGGTTTGTCCTGTATTTATGATGGCAAGAGGATTTGCTAGTATCTACATTCTAATTCTAGCCTGTTCTTGTTACCTTCAATGGTGCATCTGAATTTGAGTAGAATGTTATACAGGGGCTCAAATGTTTGAAATACATAGTTATCCAATTAGTTTTTGTGTTTAGGGGGAGCAAGCAGAAGATGGAGAAGTGGGCTTGCCTGGAAAACCTGGGCAGCAGGGTGAAACTGGTGTGACTGGGCTTCCTGGAAGTCAAGGTTCCATTGGACCAAAGGTGAGAATGATGGGTTACATATGTTTCCTTCATTTTAGTTGCTTGTGCTAAGAAAGTTTTTATCTTATCAACAAAAGCATAATGTTAGAGCTACTCTGCCTAATTTCTTTTCAGCCACTAGAGGGTTTAGTGAGACTCAGAACAAACTGACACAATTAGCTGCTCCTTGCCCCTCCCATCATGTCCTGATTCTTAGCAATGATGTGAACTATGGACGCCTGGTTGTGACAAACAGTACAAAATACCTTTTCCAGTCCAAAGCTAGCTTTAGCTGACTAACTGGTACATTTGTTGGTCCAAAGCTGGAATTACTAAATTGTATGCCTAAATACTATACCTAAATTGATTATTTGGCTGCTTTTAATGCTCCCTATCTCAAAAAGCCAAACTAATATTAACCCTGGTTTCTTTGTCTTTTCTTTCGCCTAATCTTTCTGTGAAAAGGACTTCTGGCAGCCACTGTTTTGGACTTTTTAAGCAGATGAGAGCTCCTCCATGGCTGACTGCTTGGAATGACTTGCTGTTTGGGAAAACTCTTCTTATAACCTTGGCTAGGTGGCAGGCAGGGCTAATTTATGGATCGTACTTTGACAGCACAGGGTAGAGAAGCTGGGAAAAACAGCACAAGGGCTGTAGGCAGCAGAGTGCCATGGAGGGGGCAGTATAGCTGAGAGACACCTCCTGTCCCATTTTCACTTGATTTATCAGACAATGTGTAAAATCTTATTTAATGCACCTTTAAGTTATGGCATATGCTTCTTTATAGGTCACAATGCAGGATAATTTATTGCCAGTATCAAGTGGAAATTGCTCGGTCAGCTTTAATCTGCAAGAGCAGCCTTCCTTTTCACCATAATGGTGCCTACTATATACTATATCTGGAGGATTTTCTGATCTCAAAGGCCAATCTCTGCACAGAGTCTTTATATATTCTCTTGAAAGAATATCCAGCACAGTCATTGTTAGTGTTGCAGAAATATTAATTAGTTGGCACAGTTTTTATTTGCATAACCTGGCCAATGTTACATAACATTTACATACAGTAAACCTGACAGTGATAAACACAGAGAGGCTTTATTTATTGGACTAGTGGTTTTAGACAGTTTTCCCTTTACTCTCAATGAGATATAAAGTTGCACTCTGATTGGGTCATATATTGATGATCTAATTCAGTTTGTTATGAGGCAAACTGTGATTTGGTTGTGCTGCATTTTGTAATAATAAAACATTTAAAAGTGATATTATGGGACACCAGGGTGTTGCGGGGGAAAGCCACCAGTCAAACTGATCCATGTTATCATCCATCTTGACAGTGGTGCTTTCTACTTGTTCAGTGGCCCCACAAAGACAATTCAGTGCCCATCAGTGGGTAGCCATTGCGGGAATCATAAACCTGTCACTGCTTTTGTAGCTTCCACTGGTTTGTCTTGGTGTCTGTGCAGAGGCCGTTGGGTGGGATGTGAGAAGGATGTACACTTGTTTATGTGCGTTTGTGTTTACCAGGGTGAGGGGGGTCTTCCGGGTCAAACTGGTCCATTAGGAAAAAGAGGCTCTTTTGGTGGGAAGGGATTGCCAGGAAAACAAGGAGACCAGGGATCTAAAGGGCCGCAAGTGAGCACTTATTTGACAAATACCTTCTAAAAATTCCTTTACATGACATGCTGCTTGTGCAGTGATGACCATCACCATACTTTCCCTTCTCTTTGTTTATCAGGGGGATATGGGTGAACAAGGTTTTCCAGGGGTGTTGGGTTTGTTTGGACCAAAGGTATGCTTCCGTCAAAATCCATTCATAACCAAAGTGATGACCACATGTCAACCAGACTTAAACATTTTTTCCATTCTGAACCGTGTTCTTAACACTTAGGCCTGACTTATGATATGGCTCTGAGAGAGTAAAATGAGAGAATGATGTTGGATATTTTCCTGCAGTGGGATTTGGACAGGACTATGAAGCAGATGTGATTTGTGTTACTGTTCAATAGTTTCTAATAGTTGTTCTAACATAGAAGCAATGACTAAGGATAATTTGAGAAAAGTCATCAGATAAAAGTGCAGAAATAAAGGTGGTGTAACAAACCTTGGGTGGTAAAATCTATCAAAAACACTGTGCTGCAAATCATTTATAACATTTATTTTATAGCTACTATATGTCAGAGTATGTCAAAATGCAAATCACTTGTATGTTTCTAATGTAAATTCTCTGGTTGTCTCTGTTGTGTGCTTGTAAATGAATTACCTTTGGGTATGAGAATGTTGGTCTAAGATTCAAGACTTTACAGTTTGAGTTTTTCACTTTATTTGACATTTATCACACTAGAAACTTAATACAGATAGGAATAGATTAATTGGTAACAACTGGATAACTTGCAAGCACCTGAGAAAATTATAAACAAATCCCTTTGTGAGGTTTATTAAGACAAGGCAGCTTTATTTATGTAGTACATTTCATACACAGAGGCAATTCAAAGTGCTTAGGCAAAGAGAAATATTAACCGCATTAAAAGTAATAAGAATTAGAACCAGAATGGAACAGGTTAAGACAAAATAAAGAAAAAGCATTGTAAAAATGAGATAAAACACATAAAATGTCCAAAACATACCTGAAAATTACAGTACAGTAAGAAGTTGTACGTTGCCACAAATGCAACACAGACACAAAAGAGCAGCAGAGAAATCAATCAGTCTAAGACACAGAAATTATTCCAGACTTGGATGCACACCCATCAAAGCATGTATTATTTCATGTGAGAGCCACTTGCTAACTGCAGAGAAATTAAAAAAAGTATTCTACTTCTTGACAATTAATTAATACAGGGTTAACCTAAGCTTACCATAGCTTATCCCCTATTTTAAAAAATAACTGTCTTTCTAGGGCCCCCCAGGACATATTGGCCCAGCAGGGATACAAGGTCCAAAAGGACCACGTGGTTTGATGGTAAGATGAAAACTATTGTTACTTTGGTAAGTCACTGCAGTATTTCAACCAGTGCCAATGCACTGAACTCTCACAAACCGCGCACTTGGCATGCAAGCAAGCAGTGCTTCATCAGATGCCCCATCATGTGTCGTCAGTCACCAACATATGTCTGTTTTCCAGGGTATAGAGGGAGCTTTGGGCCCCGCTGGCATCATTGGCCCCAGTGGTCATCCTGTATGTACCTCATATCTCTTCTGATCTGCCAAGTTTTATGAGACTTCTATCTACTCTTTGGCAGTGATGCAGTGATCCTATGTCTCTTTTCCCTCCATCAGGGACCCCAGGGTGACAAAGGAAGTCGAGGAGAGATGGTGTGTGCCAATGTTTTGATGAATCCTCTTCTGTTTGTACTGTGAGCACAGAATAGAGTACTTAGTCTGGAGACAGCAAACCAGTCAGCTTCCTTTGCCCTCAGCACGTTTCATTTCCTATTGTGCTCCACTGTTTGTTGTTACACTCGTGGTGACACTTGGCTGCTGTGGAACTCCTGTCAGGCTGATAAATGTTGGCTGCATGCACAGCTCAAGCCCTTTAAGTGGTTTGTTGATGTCATACACAGGCATAATTCACAAGCTTACTCCTACAACACCAGCACTCATGTAAGGGTTTGCTGTGTGAAAAGAGGATTTACTGTGTGGAAATAGGATTTCAGAGCGTAGACTTGTAAAGAAGCAAGCGTGCAGTTCAATAGCAATTCAGCATACAGTAGATAAAGGCAATGGTAGCACAAAGATGATGCTACAGAAATATATTTGCTCTGCTGCCAGACTTATTCTATTACTATGGGATTGTCTGCTTATCAGTATCGATTTATTTTTCTCTCATCGCCAACAGGGGTTACAAGGACCGAGGGTGAGTAATCATTTACCTCTCTAGTTTAATCATTATCCTTTGCTCATTGTGAGGAGAAATGACTTCACTTCTGTATCATCTTCTCTAGAAGCTGGGTTTTAGATAATTTGGAGTCTAATGTGGTTGCATGACATTTCAGGGATCTCCCGGTCCTCGTGGACCACCCGGACCCCCAGTAAGTTCTTCATTTTGTATATTTTACCAGTGAAAAGAGTCCATAAATTTTTCACTATGTATCTCAATTTGAGTGTTTTACTGTAAGCAAATCAAATCTCCAGTGAGAGTATTCTTTCTGAAAAGGGTTCTTAGTGAGGACAAATCAGTGGGAGCTCATCATTTGATTTGCAGTTTTTAACAGTGCAGAGACCAAAACTATGAGGAACCAGCAGTAGCATTCCACCATACATAATCTGAAAATGAGAAATTCATCTGTACATCTATACCACTGTTAATATGTGAGACATGAAATGCATTGTTTAGAGGATAATCTAGTTATAGACCTGCTTGTTTTCCACTGTGGTCTAAATCAAATGGCTGTTAGCTAGTAGCTCCTCTTTTCTGAATTTGACATGCTCTATTTCCTTTTCGTTCACGCCTCATTTCCTGTGCATTTATGATTGTTCCTGTACATAATGAGTGACAAGTGAAGACATCATCACCAACAGTGTATATTGGGATTTACAGAACTGTTTCATGAAAAAATCCATTAAGTGGCCATTCCTACAATAATTCTAACAAAAAATAAAATGTGCCAAGACACATGGTGCCTCTAATACAAGTTACTCCCTTTGGTTTCTAGGGTCTGCCCAGTTCTGCCCTTTCACTTGTAAGTATGTTTCTCTTCATTGTCAGTACAGGGTATTTTTGTGGAAAGATGATGCCTTTTAGTACAAACCGAAAAGTGAAAATGATCTTATTTTTTGTTACCTTACTGCCTTCTTGTCTTCTGTGGTAGAAGAATGAGGCTCTTGGTGCTGCCTTTCAAGTCATCACCGAATCCCATAGTGCACCGAGGCAGGAGGTCAGTTTTGAGGGAAACAATTCGCATAGCAAAGAATCACTGTTTATTAATTGTTGGTTTTGTCAGAAAATTCATGACCCATTATGGGAAAGTGAGCCATGGCAGAGGCCTAGAATATGACAACTTAGTTAAGATAAAAAAAAGTCATGCCAGTCTTTGTGTCTAAACAGAATTATCCAAGCATGGACCTGTCCATGTCAGACCAGGGCACACACATTTTCAAGACCCTGCAGCATCTCAGCACTCTGATCCAGAAATTAAAAAACCCTCTGGGAACCCGTGACAATCCTGCCAGGATCTGCCGAGACCTCTTCAACTGTGAAGACAGAATGTATGATGGTGAGGAGACATTTAACCTGCTCCATCATTTCTGTGTACATGTCCACTCTGGTGTGGTTATTAGGAGCCATTTCCTCCTCCTGCCCCTTTTTAACAGGCACTTACTGGATTGACCCAAACCTTGGCTGTACTGCTGACACCATCGAGGTGACGTGCAACTTCACTGCTGGAGGACAGACTTGCCTGAAACCTATCACAGTATCTAAGGTTACAATCACTTTTCCATTAAGCCATTTGCCTCAGCCAACCAAAACACCCAATGAAATGTAAAAACACATCACTTATATGTGGACGAAGATCTAATCCATGGTTGCTGGTGTTCACATGGAGAAAGTTCTCCCTGTGCTGTCTTACAGAGAATATTTAAAGAAGCAGAGAAGCTTTTGAGTTTAAAATAGGCTGTGTCTATAATGCAACTCGTGATAATCTGCTGGCTTTATACAATGAGCTCTTAACACTTTGGAATGTTACATTGACTTAAATAATAAACCTCATGAACATGCTCTAAATATCTACAAATTAAAGTAACCTGACAAAACTCTATTTGCCTTATAGTTGGAGACAGGAGTGGGTCGGAGCCAGATAAACTTCATCCACCTTTTGAGTACTGAGGCTGTGCAGCACATCACCATTCACTGCCTCAACACAACTGTGTGGGCAGCAGGACCCTCCCTGCAGCCCTCAAGCAGGGCTGTGAGCTTCAAGTCCTGGACTGGGGAGAAGATTCAGGCAGGAGACCTCCTGGAGCCGCTCATACCCAGGGATGACTGCTGGGTATGCACTGCTACTGTTACGACAAACGTTTACGACACTCATGTCTGTTAAGTATGAAGCTGAAGCCGAAACATGTTTTACATTTTTATTTCTGTGCCGACGCAGAAAATGGGGTACAACATATTTGTAAACAATTTTAACTGGGGTGTTGGAGAGCTGTTTGTTCAAATTTGGAGTAAATCAAGTTAATCTGTTCTTTCTGCTTCAACTCTCTATGCTAAGATAAGCTAATCACCCCCTAGCTCCATACCAAACCACGTTTTCTCTCTTACATCTCACGATGGACATGCTGACAGTTTTGGTTCTCTGCAATTTCTGCTCCCTTCTTTGTTAGAAAGGCAAGCTGCTGATATTTATTAGGTGTAAATTTTCAATTCTTTGTGCAGCTAAAATAAAATTCCAGGCAAAAATCTCAGAACCTGCAGCAAAAGCAAAACTGTAGCTAGACAAAGGTATGTGAGAGAACTGACCCTTTGATTTTACTTTTGCCTTCCACATCATCACATCATGTGCTGTAATACAGCTTTCACTTTCAGATTAAAGATGGCCACTGGCATCAGACTCGCTTCATCTTCCAGATGCAGGACCCAAACTTACTCCCTATAGTGGATGTGTACAACCTGTTGACCACAGAACCCGGTGCACGCTACCACCTCGAGGTCGGACCCGTGTGCTTCATGTAGGGCCCTGTGGTGGAGCCAGGAATACTCCTTAAAGGAGTGACTACATGGAGGGGGTGGGGGTGGATGGAGAAGACCAATGCTGCTATGGCTTCCAGAACAGACCCCATTTTCTCTCCACAATATATGCTTGGACTGCAGAAACAGCAGGGGGTGCCAGAGAAAGAAAGCCCATTGGAAATTGAGAGAGAAGACTTGTGGCACTAATCAGCCTGACAAGCTCATTTTTTTGTTGACATGTTTATGGGAACCAGGACCTGGATGCCCATTTTGGAAGGAAGTAATATCAGCGTCTCATTTGTGTCATCTCTCAGACCATGTTGTACAATATTTTCTTCACGGTTTGATACCTGATTTTGCAAAAACCTAGAAGGAGATCTATACAGAAATATGGAACAGTTACATCTCCAAAATGCAATAATTCCTACTTTAAGTATTATTTATACACGTATAAGTACTGTATATTGTAATATAAAGTGCAGTACTTATTGTTCCACAGACTTTAGGCATATACACTATCAACGTTATATCACTCATTCAGGTATACCATGGGCCTCAGACACACAGACGTTCTTTTCCTCTGCTAAATGTGCTGAGACACCCTACGTTTCTACAGATATCCTCACACAAACAACTGCTGTGTGGTGCTTTTAATGTTCAGGTGGAGCCAAGGTTTCCGCAGTATGAACAGTGAAGTGTGTCAAGAAGCTACCTCGTTCTGCACCGCTCATCTCACAGCAAACAAGACATTACCTGATATAATCTGGGATGACAGAGGTGACACCTGGTGCTGCAACATATGATAAACCCATCAGCTCAGTGAAGCACTGTCTGTGCCTCACGGAAAGGGAAGGTTGTAAAATAAACACTCAAGCCAAATTCATTAAATTATATTTTCAAGGTAGGTATTTTAACTTTTTCCAAGTATTTCTTGTACTGACACTACATGTTTATTTGTTACAGTGTAAATGTATTATTATGCAACCTTTATTATTTACAGTGGATTCTATTTAAATTCTGATTAGCTTTACAGATCAAAACCAGGCAACAGGGTCCTGTTTTAAGCACATTTTTTTGGTCAGTTGGACCTTTAGATTTTATATTATGGATTTTTTTTTTTAAATAAATCTGTCGTACACAATCAACTGTGTTTTAGGATGTTGCCAGCTTTATTTCTGTTGATGCATTTGCTACAAAAATAGTCGCATCAGCTGATAAACTCAGAGGATTTCTTACAAGACACAACAACATACCACAGCGCCTGAGCTAACAGTGTTTTGGTCTATACAGGCATTTTTATGCTGTGTGAATAAAGGTTGATGACTCAACAGGACATTCAATAAATGTCTGAAACCTGTGTTGATAAGCAGCTTTCAGTTTTTTCCGCCAAAGAAATATAAGATAAAATGCATTCATACTGCTGGCTTGTGACAATGCATTGCAGCGTTTGTTTCACACTTGAAACAGTCAAGTCCTGGGGCCCATTTCAAGAAGGAGGTTTAACAAACTCAGAGTTCAGGTTTGAACTCTGAGTTGACTTACACAGAGTTGGAAAACTTGGAGTTTTCGGTTTCAGAACAGCTGAAAAGAGTTGGTTTAATCAACTCTGAGTTGT